GCGCGGGAGGAGACGATCCCCGGGGGTGGAGCTGGGATCGTCTCCGCGCTGCGGAGGAGACAGTGAAGGTGTTACGAGGAGTTGTGGGGTGGTGGGGTTGTTGTTATATTTCAGGTGTATACGCAGCAGCAGGAGAGAGGGAGAGGGAGAGAGAGAGGGAGGGGACCCTGTGGTCTGCTGCTGCTGCGCTCATCTCGCTGCTGCTGCTGCTGCTGCTGCTGCTGCTGCTGCTGCTGCTGCTGCTGCAAGCAGCAAAACAAACAAAGTTTGTTTTGTTTCTACTGATGATCTCAAGTCAATCATTATAAGGCAGTGTCTGTGTATTTTTTTATTTTTTTTTTCGCTGCTGCTGCAGCTGCTGCAGCAGCAGCAGCAGCTGCTGCTGCTGCTGCTGGTTTGCTGCTTGAAGGGGCTGCTTGTGCTGCTGTCTCCTTTTGTCTCCTTCTCCTGTCTCCTTTTCTTCTCTGTCTCTTTGTCTGCCCCGCAGCATCCAGCAGCAGCAAGGAGTTGTGGGGTCCGGCGAGTTGCTGCTGCTGCTGCTGCTGCTGCTTCTTGCTGCAGCAGCAAGCATGAGGTACAGCTTAATGCTGCAGCAGCGCGGGGCCTCAGCTGTCTCCTGTCTCCTTTCTCTTCTCTTTTTTTTCTTTCTTCTCTCTGCCGTCTCCTGCTGGGGATCCGATCCCCAACACCCCACACCGCATAGCAACACACAGCAGCAGCAGCAGCAGCAGCAGCAGCAGCAGCAGAAACTGCAGCAGCAGCAACTGCAGAAAAGGGAACAACAGCCGCAGCCAAAGCAGCAGCAGCAAGCAGCAGCAAAGGCAGCAGCAGCACAGACTGCAGCGCCAACACAAAATGAACAAGTTGCTGCTACAGAAACTTTAGCTGCTGCTGCTGCTGCAGCAAGACCCGATGATTCAGCAGCAGCAGCAGCAGCAGCAGCAGCAGCAGCAACAGAAACAGGTACAACAGCAGCAGCAGCATCCCCGCAGGAGACAAAGTCAGCTGCAGCAAGAGCACCAGGGCCCTCAGCAGCAGAAGTTGCTGCTGCTGCAGCAGCAGCTGCTGCTTCTATATCAGCAGCGTTGAAGCGCCCACCTGCTGCAGCCGAAGCAGCAGGACAACCGCATGCAGCAGCAGCAGCAGCTGTTGCTGCAGCAGCAGCAGCAGCAGCAGCAGCAGCAACACCAGCAGGTGGTGGAGCTGCTGCTGCTGCTGCTGCTGCTGCAGCACGAAAGGGGTCGCTACAAGCAAGGAGACAAAAACTAAGGGGGAGACGGCAGG